TTCCACTTTAACTTCTTTTTTCCCGATGGGATATGAGCTTAAAGAAGAATCAGTCCTGGACTACCTTCTCAATCTTAATTATATACGACTCGTATACAAGAGATTGGGATTGTGAAACCTTTTATGAATCCTAAATATGAACTTCAGGATGGAGGCTGCCCAAGCCTATGAGTAATCGCAAGGTCATGTGAACAAACTTAGAACCCAATACGACTTCTGTAAACAGATTGCCCTACAGTCTAAACACCTACGGAAATACAAGAACAACCCGGACAACTTAACGAACTACACAGAAATAAAATTAGAAGACTAGGCTTCTCACCTTGGAGAACCTCGGTCATATTCCTCCAGATATTGACAAATTGCATTGTATGTACCTCGGCTATCGAGGACTCCATCAAGATTTTCCAGTAGAAATCGTTATCTCTGGATCGCATAAATGATTTGGTTGAGCAAACGCAAGGAAAGAATTACTTTCAGAAATGGATATGATATCTGGATATCACCAGTTCAAGTGTTAGGGAAGGATGTCCTGAAGACTACCTTCTGAACTTGATGCGGACACTTCGAGTCCGTAGTGATACCCTTCGGATAGGACCAATACGCCCATACTTTTCATGAGCTAAATGAGTAGGGTACGTCTTTCTTACTTGGATCAGTTCGTCATTTCTCCAAGTAATGAGTTACTTATCTACCCTCGTAGTAAGAAGAAACCCATGGAAACATTACCTTCAGAGGTACTTTTCGAGAAGTTCTCTAAGCACGAGTTTTGAAATTGAAGAGTCAAATATCTAGGACACCCTGTTAGTGATGTGGGAAATTTTGAGTACTCTTACAATTTGTCAAAACCGTTGAGAATTTTTCGACACCAGAGACGCCGACAGTCATTCGCCAAATTATAGGTCTTACAGACCTACTGTCATAGTTCATCCAGAACCCCTCGCAAATCACGGGAAACCGTACGACCTTAACCGATCAAGGAGTGGCCCTTGAAAGGGAAGTTAAACAAGAAAAGGAAACCTTGGAGATTCCAAGTTAGAGACCAAGTTCTTTAGGAAGTCTCACTCTGGGAATGACTTAATACGCTTCGTAAAGCGTAGAAAGATAAATCCAAGATAGATAGGACCTCCGAGATTCTTACCAGAGTCGGTCCTGTATCTTACAGACTAGATCTACTCCGCGAACTCAGTAATGTACATTCTACTCTTCGCGTCTTGATCGTGAAACCATACCTTTCCGTTAGGACTCATGTAAGTCCACTCGTCGAGATCCTTGCCTTCGTATTAGAACCGTAGTCACCCTCGACTGAGAGGATAAGCGGATGAAGCAATGTCATCGCCAGTTAGTGAAGGTTCATTCGGATACCAACCGAGAACCCGATTTCACTTAGGAGCGCTAGAACCATTCAATTAGGAAGTTTCCTCCTCACGATTCGATCATTCATACCTACTTCCTTATCTAAATTCTAATTTCGGGATGAAATTCCATTTATCAGGGGGATGATGTGACAACCCGAAATTTCCATTATGAACAAACCATATCAACCCAATAGAAGTTAGAACTGTTACAGTGAAATTCCAGACTTAGGATATAAGTTTGAGTATTTCAGGTTTAGCAATTAAGGAGATATCAGGAGAGTGGATGCACAAGGGTTTTGTGCAACACTGTTATTCCAATACTCTATGATATTAGAGTTCATTCCAGGAATAAAATATTTTCTGCCAAAAATCTCAGGACTATATATAGAATTCTGAACCATATCCATTCATTAGTTGCATTTCCAACTAGAGAAAAGCCGAATTCTCTCTCAGGGATCTTCGGGTTTTTATCCCAAATCGTGAGTAGTTCTATCTAGTTATATTATATAGATTAGATTGTGTGTTATAACATCAAAATTGGATCAAAACCCCAAGATTTGGGAGTTTACCACCTAAGAACACTTGGAGAGTAAACTCCTTTTTAAGGGCCAAAGGAGTGCCCAATGTCCCTCTAAGCCTTGGAACTCAACCTAGGAACTACCAAGACATGTTTAGACCACAAAATCATTAAGAATCAAAGGTTGAAAGTGAGTTCACGGCCAAGGAAGTTCTTGGGCCGTGAACTCCATTTTAGGTTGCCAAAATCCCCTAAATGCCTTCATTGAGCCAAGAGACTAGCATAGCACATTACCTTGATGTGTCTAGGACCCAAAACAATCAAAATACCAACACCTATGGGTGTTCACGGCCGGAAACACATGACCAAATGGATCATGGGCCGAAAACTCAAGTTAAGGGTGTTTTGATGCCACAAACACTTCCTAAGGCTTAGGCTTGAATTTAGACATGTACCCTAATGAGTTTAGGACTAGCAAACACCATTAGAACACCAAGAGTAAGGTGTTCATGGCCCAAGAAGTTCCAGGGCCGTGAACTCCAAACAATAGTGCCAAATGGTGCTATAAACTCTTCTAAAGCCTTGACACTAGCATAGTTTAGCTCCTAGTTAAATTAGAGACTTGAAAACAACACAAACACCCTCCCAAGGGAGATTATGGCCGTAATCTCCAAGGGATATTGTCCCAGGGCCGTGAACTCCTCAAAGGAGTTAAAAGGAAGCGCTAACACCCTAGTAAGCCTTAAAGCACTTCACCACTTAAGTTGTAATAGATTTTAGCTTCATTTAATGACCCTATAGAGAGTTTATGGCCAGGAGTTTACTCCCCTGGGTCGTAAACTCCAACACATATTGTCTTTTGACCATAAACTCCCATAAGAGGTGTTGCACTCCTTTGTTACAACCCATTAGCCTCCTAGCACTTGACCAAAAGTGTTTTCCTCGCATTAGGATCTTTATGTATGTTTAATTAGTGTTATAATCACTAATTGTTTATATACATATATCTTCATATGTAATTAGGACCATTGTGTGTATCTAAAGCCTTCACTCGATACCTAGCCGTTCTACCTCTTCAGTTCATCCGTATCACCCACAACATGTGAGTTCATACCCCTTATTCAACTTTTTAACTATTTTTAAATGTTTTATAGGGCGGGGGGGGGGGGATACAAGTAGAATCATGCTAGTTACTAGATCAATCACATGTGATTAGTAAGCAACATTCAAATGATTGGCTACTCATTAGCCGTTTTACCAAACAATTTACTTCAAATGTTTTTCATAAACACTTTATGTGTTTAAAACTCCTTATTACACTGTACATTTTACTCTGAATGTTTCATTTCAAACTCATTTACAATTGTGTTTCAAACAAATGTTTCTTTATACTAAACTGTTTTATCAAACCCATGCCTTCAAACCGTTTTCTAGATTGACAACAAGTCAATCTTTTCTTAGATAATAATTATGTTCAAAGGTTTTACAAAACTTACTTTATGATTTTATATTATAAATTGCATGCCTATATATGTATATTTATATAAGGAATGTTTAAAAGACTTAGGAAGGCTATCCACCCTATTTCCTTTTCACGCTTGAGATGTGGTCTGGTGGGATATCAGGTACCCATCCGAAGGTCGTTTAAATATTAGTTATATATCATGTGTACATATATAGTCATAAAGGTCCTTCCATTTCATCAAATGCCCTTGGGTAGCAAGGGTATACATCCCTGTCCATACGTACTAGTTATATTACTAGTAAACTACCATAGGGGTATTTTAGGAAGATACTAGAACTATTACTAGAACGCAATATCATACAATGAGTCAGTTCATTCAGGAGTCAATACCTGCTAGATAGAGAGAGAACACACATTACAACTAGTACACACAGTACATTACTATATACGCTAGACAGAGAGAGAACACACATTACAACTAGCACACGCAGAACATTACAGTACATTACTATACTATTACATAGATATGTGTACATGATCACACTTACATGAGTACAATTACATGACCACACTTATATGAGTACGCTTACATATACATAGGACAAACATCACTAGGTGCTATAACATGGAACAAGTTCAGGATCTAACTATACCGATGAATCCACTACTAGAAAAACAACCTTTTATGACGCTCATTGCGCGTCGTAAAAGGCTCAGAAGACGCTCAAATGCGCGTCAAGAAAGGCCCTGTCATAAAGAGAGACGACGCGCATTTACGACGCGCATGTACGACACGCAATGCGTATCAAGGAAGACCCTGTCATAAAGGAAGACGACATGCATTTGCGTGTCGTAACCTTACAACGCGCGTGTTAATAACTCGCAATGCGTATCAAGAAAGCCCCTGTCAAGAAAGGCCATGTCATAAATGAAGATGACACACATTTTTGCGTATCATAATTTTAAATGTTTAAAAAAAATATTATTTATAAATTTACTAATTTTCAAATTAAATAATACACTAAAAATCTCATAATACAAAATAAAATACAATAAATAACAAAGATAATTTATTTCACTAATATGTCAAATACAAATAATTATTCCAAAAGTGAGTAAATGTTATAAAAAAATGAACTCATTTATATACAATTGCATCATCTAGCTTACTATGTGCCAACAACTCCCTAGGTGTTTACTTTTGCTTGAGTCTGGTTTCCTCCAAAGCTTCTAGCCATGGCAAAATATGATATCTTGAGTCCCGTTTCAAGAACCAAAATCACCTTCAATCACCCAATTAAACTCTAACATTGGTAGACTGAGAGTTCCAGAATCAAGTTTACATCCATCACCTTCATCAAATAAACATAAAATGTAAATTCTCCTTTCTTATTATGAAGTATGTTATATTATCAATGAAGTATTTCTTATTATGCCTTTGATTGTCTTTTTATTATGAAGTATGTTATATTATGAAGTATGTTATGTTCATCAAATAAACATAAAATGTAAATTCTCCTTTCTTATTATGCCTTTTATTGTCTCTTTATGTCTTCAATATCATCAACGACAGGATTTAAATTTATAGTTTATCAATATTGAATAAGAAGAAATATTTGAACTTACTCATATGAAGTTGATTCCATCAAACGACTTGTCTTCATAATATATTCATCCTCTTGAAGTTGATTCCACCAGAAACAAAGCCAGACAATACCATTTTCTTGCTCCCCTGATTTCCATAATTATTGGATGAAGTTGAAGCAGCAACAAAGCTGCTTTTGAACTGAGGCATCACTCCTGTCCTAAGTGACTTAATAGCTGAGCCAGTAGGAGGAGCTGCTTTGGGTTTTGAGTTATATCTTATCCCCAAACCAAATTCCACATCACGCACATCCACAGAATCGGGATACATATGATCATCAGGTCCAACAAGTCTTACCAAGACCTGTGTTTAGAAACAAGAACAAAGTAATCATTTATTTTTAAGTTAAAGAGATCATAAAGCTCAAAGTAAAAGTATAAAACATGTACAGATAAGTTTACTCAATTAGAGTATTAAAGAAATCGTTAAACTACACCAACATGTATAGAAGCTGTAATATTCAAGTAGAGTATTAAACAGAACATAAATTAAACTACATCAACATGTATAGATAAGTTTACTCACTTGAACATAAAGGAAAATGTTAGATTTTTTTTATACCACTGAATAGATCACGTATAAACATTTTCTTGCAACTAAGATGTTGTTTCTTTTTTGACTTAATGGAGTCAATGAGGACACGACTTAATCTAGTAAAAAGATATTTGATACAGATCATCAAGAAAATTATACACCAAAAATTTATCAACATTGGGTTTGTGTCGTTTTCTCACATAACTTTTTGACATAATTTTGCGAGGTATTGAGGCAATTGTTTATTAGGAAAAAAGTAGATTGGCCTATATCTTACTAGAAAGTTGTTCAAGATAGCTATTTCTAGCTTCTTCTTTTTTTGTATTTTTGAACAAAAGTGACAAAATACTATTTTTAGTACGGGTGAGCAAAGGCGGGTACCCGCCTTATTTGATTGGAACCGGATCCAGGTTCTTAAAATGTTGGAACCGGAACTGGTCACACCGGTTCTTTAAATTTTGGAACTGGTCCAGGAACCGCCGGTACCGGTTCCGGTACTGGGTACCCGGTTTCAAAACTCTTTTAACTAGTAAACGATGCAACCGTTCTCATAACGATGATGAAAATCTGAAAAACCATTCTTTTATTGAATTGTAAGTGATAATGGGCATATATTGTAGCAGAAAGTATCAAAGATAAACAATAACGGTAGATATACTTTGTGTCAAGATATGAAGCCTTGTACATCATTTGTGTGGCTATATACCATATAATGCATCTTCACTTTAATTACAATATGATAATAATAATAAAAGACACCTACACTCATCAACAAATTTAGCATTACGTGGTCTTTTACTATTTGATAAGCTAAAACTACGAGACTTCATCTAGTCTGACATATAATCTTAAGCTACATTATTATAAACAGATATATAGGTGTATATAGCAATACAAACTACAAAGTTTATATCTAACGATAAATGCTTTAGATTAGAGATACACACATTGAGAACCTAGATCAGTAATATGAGTACATAAGAACCCAAATCCGCAATTTTTAAATTAGAGATACACACATTAAGTCTCGTGAATATGATTATATGAACACAGGGTGAAGACAAAAGGATTGAAGTTTTTGAAAATTGAAATCAAACCACATAAAATTCAATTCTGCATAACTGAAATCAAATAAAAAAACTTACATTTATAAGAATTTCAAGAAGAAAGATAAGATAACCCAACTCGGAATAACTGAAATCAACCCAAATGGAAAGGACAATCTAAACTTTTTTTAAGCATTTCAACAAGAACAAATAAATCCCAGCTCCCAACTCAATATGACTCATGTCACAACAAAAGGAAAAAAAATTAACATAGAAACGTACACAGTTAAAGAATAAGAGTACCTTGTTCTGGTTGGGATCAGTTGAAACAGAGTGTATTTAAGATGCGTGACAGGATCCATACTGCAAAAACCAGACACAGAGAGATGGGAAGAACGGATAGAAATTAAGGAGAATGAGTGTTCATGTCATGTTACGGGACATGAGCATGCACAGATCTGCAAGATTGCAGAGTGTTTTCTAAGGAAAGATAGAGATGAGAGTGATCAGCCAGCATGAAATAATGAGGTATTGCACAATCCTGTATGTTGTAGCTGTACCAAAGACTCCTGTTGTGTACTCTAGCAACAAGTATTTATAGCATCCCCATACAAACAACTGCAACACATGAATAAAGAATGTTAGAAACATTATCATGTGATATAGGAGCCAGATTGTTGTCATACTCATACTCCTGTTAACTGATATGCACAAAACCTTCAATAAATATTTATAGCATCCCCATACAAAAAACTAACTGATATGACAATGATAGAATTCAAATTTAAAAAGAATAACAGAAACAGAGCATACCCAGAACTAAATATAAAGAAATTTCTTGTCTGTCTTTCCCATAACATGTGACAGCTCCTAGCAACACATACCAAAAAACATAAATGATACATAATGTAATAAAAAATAGGTCAAACCCAATAAAACTGTAAGTTTAATGAAACGTATGAACTACAATGAAAATAATATTGAAAGTACATGCATGACAAGTTTTTAGCATAATTGTTTGACTTTCGTTTAAGTCTCTATTTCTCAGTTTCTGTTTAATTCAATATGATTAAACAGGAATCAGAATCAGATACTAACCTTGCCAATTCCCATGAAGACACGCATGACAAGTAAGAAAGAAAATCTTATTTTGATAGCAATTGGAGTAAAAAGGTTGCAGCCGACCACCAGACCAAATCATTGGACTTAATACCCGGTTTTGAAAATAAACTATTAAGAGAGCCACCAATTTCGAAGATAGATTAGAGTTATTGTTGTACCAATTGCGATTTACAAATGTTTCAATTTCGCGCCCCAAGAAGGGTACATATGACCTAATTTTTTTATAACAACTCTAGAACTGACACGTACCTTTCTCTTTGATAATTTATTTTAAGATAACCATTGTTTAGGGCTATCAACAACATCGTCATCTCCGCTATCATAGTGTAATAAACAAAGCATCGTTGAAGGTCCTTCATGACTACTCTAGATTTGGTCTCTTCTACATAAGATGTTTCCATTCCGACCTCATTAACTTTGGTCAAATCAGTTTCAGGTTCCTTTGGTTGTTGCTGCTGTTGGGGATTAGATACTGTTAGGGCTTAGATAATGTATATATACCTTCATTTTTGGATTTGTAATCTATAAAAGACTGGCGATCTTCCATGAGATTAGGTTTGAAATTCGTCTCATATGAGTGCCCTTGCTTCTTATGAGATAAGCCCTCCGCATAATCCGAATAATTATCAAAAGCAAGTGGTAGATCTTCTCTACTCCTTGCTCATAAAAACACATTCAACAAACTCACTAAAAGCAATTTGCTTGAATATTAAATTAACAATTTTTTATAAAGAAATGTTCAAAGTACAATGTTTGGTTCTTCTTGACTGTGTATCAACCATGTTAAACCCAGATAATTTGAGGAGCACCGCTACTTAAAATGTCAATCCCCTTCATTATAAACTGCCATGAAAAAACATGTTAATTTTCTAGTCCCATATGAAGTTTAACATAAACAAGGAGTGATGATTGTTAAAAGTTACCTAACAACCCACGTTCATCTATTTTAACTAGACCTCCAACTTCTTAAAGGAAAGGGACTTCATAAAGGAAAGGGGTACTAGCCAAACTTGTTTTTTGTTTAGGGATCATGGTATATTGGGCTATCTAGCCATGGTATAGGTGATTGAAGCCCATCATAAGTGTATCTTGGATCTTGATAACTAGTCCATGACTAGACCTGCAATTGCAAATGTTGAACATGTCCATGACACTGTCGAATCAAATGAGTTTCTTCATGGGTAAATCAAACTAGAAACATATACTATTGCAACCAATTTACCTCCATAGTAGTAAGAGGAAGCATAACCATTTGGATAATAAGCCATTGTTGGATCCATGAAATCCAGGATTAAAGGGGTTACAGATCTATTAGTAGGTTGAACCAGACCATTCCCAGCATCCATAGAAGACTGCAAAGATAATCATAAACCAAAAAACACATAACTAAGCTTCTGAAATCTAGATTAATGTCAACGAAAGAGTTATACCAAGAAACTTCAGATATTACCATATGATGAAAATATCTCACCTTCTTAGTGGGCTCATGAATTTCTGTAGTCTTAGCTTGCGAATCAAGTGATAGATTCTTCAGCAAATCAGAAGCTTTTGTACATAAAATTAAGGATAACCACTTGTTTATCAAAGAAACTGATACCATCAACAATTGAATCATAAAAACCCATATCCGTACTGTTGAAACTAAAACCCTAAGAACCTATAAAGATCGCACAGAAGGCAGTTACATATAAAGATCGCACATAAGCGAGATCTTCGTGAGAAACAAGAAACCCAGTTCAAATCGAGAGAAAACCATAATGAATCGTAAAGAAATTACTAGCAAACAGAGGAGACTTCGGTGTAGGAAGGAGGTGCGACTCTCAAATTTCTTGATAGTTCTTGGAATTACCCGATACACATAGGGAGAAAAGGGGTAAGAAGACTGTACGCACACTGTTGACTTTCATATTAGCGGTTACGAGAGCAAGATCAATTCTGCATATTTGGAACTATGTTTCACCCCAATAATTCGTCAGCTTCTTCTTTGATCATGAAAGCAAGAGCAATTCTAGTATGAAAACGAAGGCTCTAGGGCTTTTTCTTGCCAATTGGAAGAGGCGGGGTGTTAAATTTTTGGGATCCAATAGGCGGGTGAAATACCGCCTTAAAAACGCGTGTTTCATTAAAAAATTATAAAGCGACACACTTAGATGACACACATTTTATGAAAGGTGCCATCCGCATTTTTTTTCCTTTTCTGACACTAATTTTAGGGCGCGCACAAATGCATACCCTCTATCCTTCAAAGTTTGCAAAATTGACATTATTTTTTAGGGCACAGACAAATGCGCGTCCACTATCAACGTGTGTCATTGTTTGCGCGTCACTAAAGGGTTGTTTTCTAGTAGTGATCACAACACAACTGTGATAGTTATATCGGGTATACATGATCATAGTAATGTGGATGTGTCACGGCATGCATATATGCATGGGCGTGTAAAGGTCCCAAAATCCCTTTGATAGGGGAGCGTCCAGCCTGGGATCTAGCGTTCACATTATACCTTATCCCTCAAATAAGGCAGTTGAGTACCGATGTAGTTATTTATATCAAATGCTATAGTACTTAGAAGGATTACCCTAGACTTAAGGTAATTGGTACGATTGTAGTTCGGCACTACACCATAGTACTATTTCATTTTCCCATTACATTCACGTCGTGAACATACACACGATGCACGATAATGTAGAAACTATATTTTTGGTTAATGATAGTCATACTTGGGAAAATACACACTCTTACAAGAGACACACACATACACTAGATGCCTTGGTAGAAGTCTACATATAGATCAGTTAAGTCTTGGTAGAAGACTCCCTGTTATAATAGTAGGAATCATAGGGATTCCTAGAGTTTTTCAAATGTTTACAATTGTTTTACATACATTTTCAATATTTACAATTCATATACATACAAACTCTTACATACAAATTAAGACAATAAAATACTTATGATCTCACCAGCTTCAAAGCTGATACTCACTTTCAAAATTACTTGTATCCTCATGTCATCAATAGATAGGTACCGATGCAAGGTTTTGAGAAGATTGAGCTTGTTCAAGACTCATCTTTCATTTTGATTTATGCTTTAGTGTCTATTATAATTTGACAGAACACACTTGTATAATAAATATATTATTAATGCAATGGATGATGTTGTTGCTTGTTTACTACTTTTCATTGTGGTGATACTGTACATGACGTCCTCCGCCCCAGAACGTTTCCTCCGTTTTATGGTTTTGGGGTGTGACACGATACACTCGTTTTTGGCATGAGTTTTGTTTTTATGTTACTCACAGAAGTTAGGCTTGTCTTTGTTTTCCTTGGATGAGGCCTTGTTGATTGCGTGAACGTCGGTGTGACAACTTTTTCCATCGTCCCGATCAGGGTTCTAAATGGCGTGAGGCGTGGCGGCATGGTCAAGCCTCAAGCTTAACGAGCCATGGTGAGCCATGGCGTTTTGCAAGGCGTGATGCAAGGCGACGATTTTGTATTAATTTAAAATTATATTACCACATAAATATAAATTTGTATTAAATATAACTACTTTTTATAAGTTTTAGATCAATAACTAGTAACAAAAATTTAACGAAAACCACAATACTTGTATCTCCGATTAGAAAAGACATAACAAAGAGCAAAAAATCGTGTCTCAAATGAAAAAACACACGCCATAACACACCATGGCGCGCCATATCACGCCTTGCCACGCGCCAGGCCTAACAGCAATGTAATGAAGCTTTTCGTAACGGCGGAGCCACGCCTCACGCCATGGCGTGCCTTGGCATGCGCCATGACGCGCCTTTTAGAACACTGGTCCTGGTAGAACGATCTATACTATCTAGATATATGCTAAGGGCGACGATTGTGCCGCTGCTGGTCGCCATCTTGCCTTCCCTGCTGGGTCGAGATTGGTCGTGATGCCGCCTTCGCCTGCTTTGCATATGCATTAGCTATAACATTGATGTTGGCCTCTTTTCTCTCTTCCCATTCGATTTGCCTCAGTTATTCTTTGACACGGAACTTGAGTTCATCCCGGGATCGGGGAATGGTTCCCCGCATCTTCTTCGAGAGGGGCCCTAAGAGTAAACCTTGGGCGAAGGCACCTGTTACCAAGAACTCTTCATGTCCTGGAACATTCAATGTTGCCAACGTGAATTGGTCATAATATTCACGGATTGATTCCCCCTCTTTTTGATTGCATGCCATTACGAAGTTAGCATCCCCCATGCCTTTATTCAATTGCATGAAATTGTTGAGGAAGAGGTATTTCAGTTGCTCAAAGCTAGAGATGCTTCCTGGCCTCAGAGATTTGAACTACTTGCCAGCGTTGCCAGTGAGAGTGGAAGGAAAATAAGTGCAAGTGAAGCGAAAATCCATATTGAGGGAAGTCATCGTCCATTCATAATTATCTATGTGATCATCTAGGTCTGTAGTACCATCATATTTGGGCATGTGTGGGATCAACATCGTGTGCGGAATCTCGTACTGCAGTAGCTTATTGCTGAAATTAGAGCTTGCGCTTCGCATGGGATTGTCCACATACGAGGATAACATCCCGCTGTAAGCCATGCACTACTGTATTTGGTACTGGTTTTCATACATATGACTATGCATGGTTGCCGACAAGATATATAGCTGATACAGAAGCATGTCTGGTATCAGCCCGAATTGTTGGATGACGTGTTTCCCTATTGGGGGAAGCATATATGGGCGCGCTCCCATGTATTGCTGCACATTCGGGTTGAATGGCTGAGCTGCTACTACGAAGGGATTTCCTTAGGATTGAACTAAGAACTAAACGCCAGATCCAGAAGAATTGTACCCATGACCTGTCGAGATCTGCGTGTTTGCATTTTGTGGTTGAGTCGGCATGTGGATGAAACCTGGAATCTGCTGCACTTATGAGTTGAATATCGGATGTTGTGGTACATAGGGCGGCATATAGGGCAAGCCTGCCATGGTAGTGTGTGGGTAGATCGTGGAGGAAATTTGTGGTTGTAGTTGGATAGTATGGGGGTTCCAAGTCCCAGTGTCGGAGGCGTGCATGAGAGACTATTGTTGTGTGCTGAGAGAAAAACTTGAGAAACACACTTGAATAAACATTAAAACAAGTTATAATGCGGAATAAGTTTAACTCAAAGGATCATAAAGATCAAAAATAATAATAATTTGGAGATAGAGAGTTAGATAATTAGATGCAAAAATATAAGGAAATATAAATGACAACAAGTATTATATCAAGTAAAAACTTAAGTTGATTCGTAACAAGGATTGCAATCAAACCAAGTTAGTAAGTGAGATCAACTTAACATGATTAAGTCAAGAATGACTTGCTCTGAGGAGAGATGATCTTACGATAAGAGATTTTAATTCAACAAGTTTTTGAGAGTAAGAAAGTAATGAGAGATATAAGATATAAGATGACAGATAGATGTGTATTGCAAACTGAAGCAGGAGGCTCTATTTATAGAGCTCCATAGACATTACAGGGAAATAAAAAAATACAAAGAAGTTTCCATGCAAGGTTCACTAGACAATACAAGGTAAAGAGATAAGTTAAAAGAAAACACTAAGTCTTTGTTCTGTAGAAAGAGTTGCGGATGACATCTTCGCTTCTAAATGCAGTAGCAGCAACACTGCGGTAGAGTGGAGCCTTCAGATGGAGGTTCAAGAGGGTCACTTCTTTCTTTAATAATTTCCCCCCTAAGTGACCTCTTTAACCTTTTCACTTGTTGAGCTTCAAAAACCTTATTAGCAACCACCAAACTTTCTAACTTCTTCCAATCATTTGATCCGTCAAGTGATCTCAAACTTGACTACGTCTGTTGTGTGCTTGGATATCTGCACCAAAGTCAGAGTGACTTCGAGTTGCCTTCAGGTCAGGCGGTGCATGGCAGTGATGGGAACAAAATACTGGAAATCACTATTTACTCTTTTGAACACAACTCCTAGTTCTGGGAAGTTGGTTGCACCCAAGGAACGTTCGTGATAACCTTCTGTATATTGGGTTCTTGATAACCTTCGGTATAGACTGGTGCGGGATCAAGTGGAGGAAGGTTGAACTTCTGAACTAGTGTTGGATGAATGTCAACATCTATTTTGGAAAAATCGCATACTTCACACCGTAGGTGCTCGCAAGCTTTCTCATAAGCTATCTTCATTTTGGAGTGTTTTTTCGGATTTGAGTTGAAACGCCCTTGTGATCAAGAAAACCTCTTCCAGATTCATACACGGAATGTTAGCTTGAGTTCGGATGTAATCACAGCCTCTTCTTGGCAACGTGTATTGGATGAACTCGGATTTCATGAATTTGCGGATCTTGTAGTTCTTTACTCCGGAAGGCCTATCGCTTGACCATATATCCTCGAATTTGGATCCATGCTTTCCATGGAACTTGTTGAGACATTCAAACTCCAGAGGAAACCTTTGATCATCAGGGAGGCTTAGGTCAAATGGCTCAAAAACTGTGAAAAACATCACATTGGGAGAAGTGGGAATGTCCCAATAGCTATCTTCCGAAGGCTCAACATATGTCAGCACTGGCTTGTAGTTGTCATCCTGGAGCTTGCAGTTCGGATTGACCGATGAGTTGATAAGAGTTTCATCCATTGTATTGTCGATCCCATGGTCTCTCTGTATTTGCTCCGCAAACTTGGCCGCATTCCACTCAATGTTCCATTGCTTCATTGTGGGGGAGTCATCTGAGTGTTCTGATGACAAGGTTGGCACCATGTTTCTGAATTGTGGAGGGGTTTCTTGAGGAGGAGATTCATGTTGCTCAATTTGAATATGTGGAGGAGATTTCGGAGGAGAAGACACCGGAGTGGGAGGTTTAGCTTGACCCATTGTTAAAATTGGAGATTGTTGAGCTTTAGGAGTTGTAATTGGTTGTTCTGGACCGAAGTGTGCGGGACTGAAGTCTGGTATGACCCGAGATTCATGGAGCTGCGAATCAGAGTGATCACTTCCCCCTTTTGAGGAACTAACCTGTTGGTCCTCAAACCATTGATGAAATCCATCAATCTTTGTGAAAACATTATTGAATTTAGACTTCAGGATATCAGAAAGTTGCTGATTATTGGTGATCTTCATATTGAACATCAATTGATGGATGTCTTTGGTGAGCTTGAGGATCTCCTGAACATGAAATCTTGCGATCAGGGATCGTCTGAGGTTATTGATCATTGATTGGAGTACAAAGATGGTTGATTCATAAGCATTGTGAGTTTCCTCAACAAGCTTCTTGGACTTAATAGCTTGAGTAGAAATCGAAGATTGAAATTCTATTTTGATTATGGTAACCTCCTGGATAAGTCGTTCGGCAGTAGCTATGAACTCTTTGTGATCTACTATTATGTTGTTGTCAAGGGCATGGATACCCATTTCAACTTTGAGCGATATCTGTTCAGCAGGCAGACGTTCCCATGTCTCTAATCTTTCAACCGGTTCCTGTAACATCCCAAAACCGGGACCCAAATTTTTTTGCTTAATTATACTAATTATGAAAATAGTTTATGGAAAAAATCATTGTTATCATTTCAAACATCAAGTCACAAATCACAAGTATAAAATAAAACCATATCATCAAATAGTAAAATGTCAGAGTACAATCCCCGAGTTCTCAAAGCAAAATCATGTGTGTGCGATATGCTGCTACCCTGTCGGCTCCTTCCCCTTAGCTGAAGAGGTACCTAAAACCAAAACTAAAAACTGTAAGCACGAAGTTTAGTGACTTCCCCCATCATACCGCATACCTTACAATCATACATACTGCCGGGAAATTCTGGGGTGCCCGACCTTCCCATGTAAAGCCATTCTGGGGTGCTGACCTACTCATGTCAAGCTATTCTGGGTGCTGACCTACCCGTGCTAGGCCATTCTGGGGTGCCTGCCTACCCTCCGTTCTATCTTACCCGGTCACGGGGAATATTTCACCCTACTACTATCACATATTAACATATCATAAACATGCTGTCAGACATATCTGGGGTGTCCTACCTACCATTTGGTCCTAACAACCGAATCAGTGGACTATTCCCCTCCTACTACCACTATCACATAGCACACATCAAGTAATAGCAAACCAAACAATTATTACAAAGACAATCATCCCGACTGTAATCAACTACTAGTGGTCGGCCTTAACATCGTGTAGTATCTGCACTGTCCTCGGTGTGAAAATCGACTTTCCCCGAATCCTCAATCCCCACACAAAATCTTTTCTAAGTTAACAATTCATACTCATAACCCTTACAAGAGTCACTCACATCTAAGTCAAAGTCAAAGTCAAATCCTTGGTCAAAGTCAACTTTTTGTCAAAGTCAACATCTGGTTGACTCGACTCACCGAGTTGGCCCACCAACTGGTCGAGTTCTCATATCCACAAAATGCCATAATCCCATCCCTACTCGTTG